CCATGTACCAATTATGCATGCTTTGTATAGCTGTAAGCCATTTCATGTACCTGGTTTTGCATTTCGGGAGAAATTCCATGCATCGGGTGTCATTTCGCCTCGTTTCGGGGCTGTTTTGCCCCTCATTTTGCTACTGATTTTTGCATTTTGCATATCATATTCCATGTCTTTGCCATGTCTCATTAGAGTGGCATTTTGGTGCCTGAGGGTCGGTCCTCGATTTGCGTGCACGCGTGCACGCATTTTGAGTTGTCTTGTTTTCATCTGATGGCCTCCTATGTGAGTGTGGCTGAGGCTCTCTCATGTTGGTGTAAGCCCATTCTCATAGCTGACCTTCCCCAATCGTACCCTAGCTCCCGAGCCGAGGCAACTCTGGTGATGACGGACATGTGGCCTTCGGCACCGAGTCAGGGTTTCCTAAATTCCCCATAAAAAATATTTAGGTGGCGACTCTGTATCTGGCAAAGCAGTCCATGTTTGGCACTTCTTTTCAAAATCTGTTTCTCAAAATGATTTGCCGGATTTGGACTCTTTGGTTGAGATTAAGAATCGTGACAATTTGAGAGTCCGAGCTGTAGTGACCCCACAAATGAACAGAATGGGACTCACCCTCCCGGGGCGTTCGGGGACGTCTACAGTGTGTCCTTCAACTACTTGATTCAACTCATTTGGAACAACTTTTAAAATGTCATCTTCCCTAGTACCCTATTGACCATGCACATTGTGGGACCCCTTGTCTGCTTTTGTGTGGCTTGACTTGAGTTAGGACCTACAAAACACAGATACATTGCATGCCACAATCAGTAAATGTTTACCATTGCTAGCAAGTTAGAAATCACGCTACAGTGTGTATCAAAAAAGAATATTATCAGCACACCTGAGTTAAAGGATGGTTACTGTTATGACCCATTAAAATGAGCCTCTGCAAGAAGAGTTTGGCAACAGTGATTGCCATTGAAAGAATGGTTGTAGTTAAGGCCCTACCAAATTTTGAGTGTAATATGTGTGAAATGTGTTTGATTTGGAATTTTAAACTTTTTTTAAGGTATTCCTTGATTTTGACGAGAGTTCTTGATTCTCAAGTCTAATCATTGAATTGTTTTAAAAAGCATCTTTGACATCTTACTATTAATAAACAAATAGGAAAGATAAGGGGTAGAGGAGGATATGCATAATCACATCAGTGGAAGTACAAGAGTTATCTGAACGTGCTAAGACAACAAAGACTACATCAACTCTTGTGCAAACTGTAAACTAACAAATAATCAAGTTTGAGATGGCTATTTAGCATTTTTTCTTTTTCAATGTAGAATAACAAGAGATGAGTTTTTCAGTTAAAGAGGTCCCTGCCTACAAGCTTTATCTTGTTGGAGACAAAGGTGAATACATTCAATTGGTCAATAAGCAAGAAAACATAAGTATGTTGTTGGGGGAAATCAGAACTAGCTTAACATTGGATATAGTTGCAATATTTCACACTGCAGGCATCCACTACTGCAGTATCAGTAGCAAACAATAATTTTTAGTCTCTTGATTTGAGTTTCCAATTGAAACTAAAACACAAAACCCCTTAAATAATGGGCAATATGAAGCCTTAGTCTGGCATCCAGGAGTTCAAATCATTACCTATCTGAAACAATGTCTAAGATGTTTTTGGGAGAAAGAATGTGTTGGCCAGTCAATGGGGGCATCCTCAAACATTGTAAATGTGTACATATGTATATAGTATATTTCTACTTAGCATTGTATTGGCAGGATTTTAGTTGGGTGCTTCCCAAGATTAAATAAATTTCAATATATGATAAGGACAAAAAAAATATTTTAAAATAAAATATTGAGTATTAGAGCTAAAAGAGTCATTCGCTGAAAGAGTCATGGAACATTACTTTTAAATTCACTAATTTTCAATTTGCACAAACTCTGGAAATGCTGATTCTGACTTGGATTCATCATCCTCCAGGGTTAAGGTGGTTTGCTATGTCTCTCATACGTGGTTTTGCTAGAAAAGGCAATAATGAGACCACTGTTTTAGCAATGATGCAGAAAAGAGTAGTATTCTATTATTTGTCATTATGTCTCAACTTCAGCTAAAATTCCCAAGTAAGTTTTTGTTTTTTTGATAAATAACATTACAGGTAAGTTTCATTTTATCTTCTTCAGTCTATTAACTTCGTTGCTCTTCAGGCAATAAACTACTCAAGTTCAATGTATTGATCTTCAACAGACAAATGCCCCACCCATTGGCTATTATTCTTACAGGTCATTTTATCTTAATATTTTTTAATAAGAGAGAAAATGAACTTAAATAAAGAAGAACAAATCACGAAGAATGGAAAATTAGGTTTTTTCCTCGAGCAAAACAAGAGATGGAAAATCATACCAATCTACATCCAACAATAAGACATTCCACCACCTGAAACCATGACATGCAGGTTACTGTAAACATGATGAAAAATCCAATGGAAATTCACCTGTGCGTGTTTGATTGGGGTATATAATGGGGGGATACCATGCTACATCCTACCCTAAACAAACATAGAACAAGTGATCCGATAGTACATATAATCCCTCTCATATCTTAAACATATTATAATGGGAGGCAAATAATACTTGTTCCCAACCCTTTTCTGAGTATGTAGTGCCTTCCGAATTCTCATATCTTGCAAATCTCGACGAGTATTTAAATTGTCCTTCCCTTTCCCATCAACATTTAATATCGTCCATAATACATTATCACACACGTTCTTTTCAATGTGCATCACATCAAGATTGTGGCGAATCAAATTATGCTCCCAATATGATAGCTCAAAGAAAATACTCTTCTTTTTCCAATTATGACCCGAGTCCTCATTTTCCTTTTTTTCTTTCCCCTTTCTATTCCGTTTGCTAGATTGTTGATGCTTAGAATTCAATTTGAACTTAGGGCCTAGTTGTTGTAGTACATTAGTCCCTGATAACCGAGTTGGACATGGTTCGAATTCACGAGTGCCATCAAAAGACGCACTAGTTTTCCGAAATTTGTGACCCCCATTTAACCAGTGACGATGCCCCATGTAACATAATTTCCTTTCGTTCTTCAAATATCGAGAACGAGTATGTGTGTTACAACAAGGACAAGCTAATGCGCCTTTCATGCTCCATCCAAACAAAATTGCATAGGCAGGAAAATCATTTATAGTCCACAATAACACAGCATGCATTCGGAAGATCTGAATAGTTTTCGCATCATACGTGTCAATACCGTTTTCCCACAGTTCTTTCAATTCATCCACTACAAGGCGTAAGTAGATGTCAATATTATTTCCAGGTGAAGAAGGACCATCGATGAGCAATGTCATCATCATATGAGGCTACTTCATACACAACCATGGTGGCAAATTGTATGGCATTATAATAACTGGCCAACTGCTATGAGAGACATTCATTGCCTTGAATGGATTGAATCCATCCGCTGCTAAACCCATTCTGACATTGCGAGGCTCACTCGCAAACTTGGGATACAAATTATCAAAATTTTTCCAAACTGGAGAGTCAGCGGGATGTCTCATTTTGCCGTCATCAATTTAGCCCTCTGCATGCCATCTCATTAAAGAAGATGTTTTGGATGACATAAACAATCTTTGAAGCCTTGGAATCAATGGAAAGTATCTAACAATCTTATGTAGAATTCTTTGTTGCTTCTTCTTAACATCATTCTCCTCCCCCTCGAACTGTTTGTATCTAGGCATATGACACACTATGCAATCATCCATACCAGCTGTTTCCTTCCAATATAATGAACAATCCCTTGGGCATGCATGTACCTTATGATAATCGAGTCCCAAGTCCCTAAGAAGTTTCCTAGTTGCAGAAAATGACCTCGGCAAAGTTTCACCCTTTGGGAACGAATCCTTCAAAAGCTTGAGCAACATCGTGAAAGACTTGTCACTCCATCCACTAAGGCACTTGATGTGCAATAACCGAACAATAAATGAAAGCGTTGAAAACTTCTGACACTCAGGATACAACTCTCTTTCGACCTCTTTCAATAAATTGAAGAATTTTTCGGTTTTCTCATCTGGACCTTGTTTAATACTAGAACTTGCTGCCTCGTGAATAAAGCTTGGTGGAGGAAGTCCAAATCCTTCGTATAGCATTTCATACGTTTCATTACCATCGTTCGAATCAGTTTGCCCAACATTCACATTGTGTGGCACAGGTGATGACAAATTCTCCCCATGAAAAATCCAACTGGTGTAACTCGGAAGAAACCCGTTGATCATTAAATGTTCCCCTAACAAGCCTTTCTCCACCAATTTAACATTACGACACCGTTTACATGGGCATGTGACTTCATTCAACAATAGCTTATTTTCGCATGCAAATTTAATAAATTCCTTAACCCCTTGTATGTATTCCGGGTGCAACCTATGTTGATTTATCCAACTTTTATCCATCTGATTCTCTCTTACACTACAAATGTCACTGCCAAATCAACAAAGTTCAAAATTACCGTTCCATTTTAATTAATCTTAACCTCAATTAAGTAACTTATAATGCATGCAATATGACATCATTCATCTCTAACTGGTCTCTAATATGTTGATTCATCCTACTTTCCCATTCAGGAATGCACAGTCTATATTGTAAAAAGCAGTTCATACCGCTCTGCTCATCTCTAATGAAATTTCGGCAGCATCTCCCCATGGTTCTCCAAATACACGACATATTACACCTTGTCTAGTGTGCACTCGGAGAACACAAGGAGTTGCTACACGAAATCTCTACGAGATGGACTATAAGCAGTAGAACTACTAATTACAATACAGACTTGTGCTTCTGAATTGTCCAACTAGACAATCCAAGAAGAGCTTCATCAAAGATGACTAGGTATCTCTAATGAAGATTCTTGGACGGGTCTAAGGCTATTTATGCATGCATGCACCCTTAATGATTGCATCCCGATGGTGCAATCTAAATTAGTACTATCAAGCATACTAGAAGCATATCTAGTATGAAGCATATTAATGAAGAAACCAAAAGTTTCTACAATGCTCTTGATAGATTATGATAGATTCAAGAAATTCATTGCTCTCTCAAATCAATCAATAATGGAATAATTTTGGTAGGAACTCATGGATGTGGGAAGTTCAAACCCACTACCCAAACCAATAAGTGTACCAAAGCTCGAATACTTCTAATGATGATAATGATGATGATTTAGAAAACACCAAAGAGCAACCACCAAATGAGGAATCACATTCACAATCACAATCACAATCACAATCATATTAGTTGAGGAATCACAATCACAATCACAATCACAATCATAGTTATCCACGTTAATAACTATGAAGAAAACTTGTTTGAATTGAAGACCAAACTTCACCATATAATACTACAAATCAAGACAAAGTTACATGCAAGAGAATTCTTTCACATGCTAGCTAGATGATTATTTATTTATTTTGGGTCAAATTACCCTCCAAATGAAGTTAATTGTGTCCTACACTCTCTCAAATTATATTTTATACATAATTATAAATATTTTTGGAAGGAATGGTTTAATCATGTAGTATAAACATCAAATTATTTTTTGTAGAAACTTTTGGAATGTATTTAAACACTAGAAATAGAATTGAGACTTCAGAATTTGAGGCATGAGCAAAACACTAGAAAAATAAATAAAGTAATTCAACAATAAAACAATTACAAAATGAAAAGCTTTCTATCTTAATGTATACCAAAGTCCATAATAAAATGCAAATTTGAGTGTTGAGCAAGTTGCGAAAAGTACAAAGATGAAAGAGGTGATAAACCCCTATCTGAACACAATGGAAAACTAGAATCAACTTGTCTCTCCCATTCATCAGCCCCCAAATTCTGGTTTGCAAATCATCATGAAAAGGCACACCATTATTTTAAGACATTTTTATTCATACAAGCAAATTCTGCAAAATTATCAACCTTTTACTTCATTATGTCATCATACCAAAAGGCATCCTATGCATATGGTATTAACTGAATGTAGGTGGGGAAAGAAAATGAAAGTATGCAGAGCACATTAGTTATTTGGTGGCAGATCTGCGTAACACAGGATTACCATTTCTACCAAAGTAATCCTTTCAAAATTCTGAGTGTTTAATCGTTTATACAGGATTATCATAAAATAACACCCTTATAGGACATAACCTCGAGAATATATGGGTCCAATTGGCTCAGCCATGAAATTTATGAAAAATTTCTAAGTTTTATCATATATTTGATTACTCTTTCTTGAACCACATTTGCACTGCACCCTAGTGAGTTAAAGTTTTGATGTCACATCAAAGAGGTAAGAGCAGCGAGGATTTGTTGAGATTTGATAGGCTAGGGTTTTGGGGTTAAAACAGGTTTGTTTGCCTGATGTGAGGAGCACCACAAGCATTAGTTACTTTGAGAAGAAAAGCAAAAGGACAAAGAAAAAATAATAAGAGGAAAGAAGAGATTTACACTTGCAAAACATACAATCTGAAATTCTCATAAATTCATGTAGCCAACCTTACTTGAGTGGAATACAAAGCTTAGTTTGGGTTGGGTAGCTTGGTTTGGGTTGGGTTGGGTTGGGTTGGGTTACATTCAATTTATACTGTTAGGATTCCCTAAATTTATTAAAATCACAATTCACAAATATTAAATTTTGACTATTTGACAACTAATACTGTACTGGACCTATATATTTTTTAAATTTAATAATGTGATATTGTAAGTTGACCCAAAAGAACAACCATGGACCTATACTATATCAAAACCAAAAATCAAACTATGGTTAACAAATAAAATCCGGTAAAACATTACAAATAAATAAAAATAAGGAAAAAGAAAGAAAACTATCTAGCAATATAATAACTTACAAAACATAAAAGTAGGACTTAAATCAACTCTTAAGTTCATAACATAAGGTCCTAATTGGTCCCCATGTAAAATTATCACTTTGTTGCTACTTTGTGTGCTCTGCGTTGCAAGTACACCTTCAAATTGTCATAGAAGGTTTTGCTCAAAAGTCTGAACTCTGGCTTCAAAACTTATCCTTCCAAATACAATGTGTCAAACCTATTGTTGTTTGGGATTTGAAAAGTCCTATCTATCTTTGTAAAGTCTTTTCTAAAAATCTGTGTGGGTGTATGTTTCTATTTCTAAGCAATTGCTAATTTAACAGTGGTCTATGCCATGAAAAGAATCAGTAGTTTGATCCAGATTGATGAGTTGGTAAATATGTGTTGTACAAGTACGATTCAAAATGATTTAATCAGTTTTGCACTATTTCATTGGAATAAAGACACTAAGAAATTATAAAAACCTAGTTGTCCTAACTGAAAATTGCAGTGGTTGGGGACCCACATGGAGGGGGTTGGTAAGGATGGTATGTTTCTACAACACCCAACTCACAAAAAAATGCTGAGTTCAAAACAGAATTTTAAACCTTCGGATGAGGTCAGCAAATTGACATTGTGTTAAAAGATTTGAATGCAGCAAGAGGCAGGTTTGAATGGTTTCATGAATGCATATAATTCATAAATCTCAATCCCTAAAAAAATATTCTCTGTTTAGTTTTAGTTTTCAGAATTCACATTTCAAAAAATTCTATTTTTTTGTTTTCTGTATTTTTTGTTTTCACTGAATTTTTTTGATATTTTAAGCAATTCTCTGTTTGGTTTTCTGTATTTCGAATGTGGTATGGGTTGTATCTTATAATTTTTTTTTCCTTCATATTTTGGGATTATAGGATGGTTAGACATCTCAATATTATTGGTTTACCAAGATACCTAGATGAATATTTTGGGATTATAACTTCGGCCCTTGTAGAATAGGAATTTAAATCGTGTCGGCGATTGATCTAAGAGTTGGTGAACATGATCTCTGACTATTAAAATACGATCTCCGACTATTATTTTAAAGTATAAAGTTAACAAGTTAGCTTGGTGTTCACATTTTTTTTTTTATAAAGTTTTGTAACACTTTATCTTCAAATTGCCCAACAAAAATTACTCTTTTCATTGTTTGAATTTTTTTTGTTCATTTTAATTGTAAGAGTAAAGTAGTAAAATTTATCATTCAGAAAAATTATTTATGGACACAACCAACTATATGAAATAATTTTAATCATATATATCACATGTGAAGTTCATTATAAAAGAAACACTCAGATGCTTCATCTATGTTTTATATGGTTGGTTCTGTGTCCATACCGTAGAGTTATTGAGATCATGTAATTGTAATTTTATCAATTTGTCTCTTAATTTTTTTTAATTTTTATATTGTATCAATTTAGTCTAATTATTAATATCTATTAAAAAAGTATTATTTGACAAAAATTGACGGTAAAATGGTTGATCAAAAGGACATTGGCTATTTCAAATTGAATGCCAAGCCTTCAATCTACTCAAAGAGATTGAATGTACTGTTTTACTCATTAATTTTAGTAAAATTTCTAAACAAAACTATCAATTGGATTAAATTAATACAATTAGAACTTTAATAATAAAATTGATATAAGTGTCAAATTATAAAAATATGGTTGTAATTGCCCTTTTTATTGTGATTAAGAAAACATTATTCCCACTTCCTAACTATATATTTCAAAATTTTATCTCATGTGTAATTTTAGAAAGAGAATACCAATTTTAGAGTGTGGTTATAAAAAAAGGGAAGTGTGAATAATAATTCTCTTTTATTAACAGCAATAATCATTTTTTTTTTTTTCTTTTCATAATGATCGCCACAAGCTAAGATGGGAATCAACCTGAGAGCCAAACATATACTTGGCTTCTGTAACATGATTTGGGTTTCATGAAATAAGGGGATGATGATGATGAATAACTCTATAGTTTATACATGCAAAATGTACAACAAATCAACTTGCAAACTCAAAGCAACAATAAATTCAAGTGAATTGTAAGTAAAATTGAAATCAAAGGGTGCAGAGATGAAATTAAGCACAATATCAGTTCAGCTTGAGAGAGAGAGAGAGAGAGAGACAATGGAGCTCACCGATCTGAATCGCTGAGATGAAATTCGATTTCGATTTCGAGAGAGAACTTTGAAATGGCTTTGATGAATCACCGATCTATGTTCGCTGAGACCGAGCTGGCTCTCTGAATCTCTGAATCACAGAGCTGAACTGACAGAGATAATTAGGGTTTAGACAGCACAAAAAGAGAAAGAGAGAGGGGGAAAGAGAGAGTAGCTCACCGATCTGAATCGATTCACCGATCTGAATCGATTTTGAGAGAGAACTTCGAAATGGCTCTATTGAATCACCGATCTAAATCGATTTTGAGAGAGAAATGGCTCTGATGAATCACCGATCTGAATTGATTTTGAGAGAGAAATGGCTCTGACTTCAATTTTGAAAGATCTTAGACAGCGCAGAGAGGGCGAGAGAGAGCGCGAAAGTGAGAGTGAGAGTGAGAGCGCGAGAGTGAGATTTTGGACCAGTATATTTTCGCTTATCAGATTCAAAATGAAGGTGAAACAGGAGAGGGGTGTTGGACAAAACCATTCCAAGGTGTTTTAAAACGTCTTTGATTCTTGAAACGGCGCCGTTTTAATTACAGAAAAATAAGACGTTTATAAAATGCCGTTAAATATTAGAAACAATGGCGTTTTAAAAAAACGCCGTTAAAAAAACGCCACCTAACCCCATATTTCCTGTAGTGAGATCAAACAACTTTAAAATATTAGAATAACAGAGCTATTGTTAAAATTATAAATCAATACTTGTAATTACATATTTTGAACAAAGAAAAAAAAAACAAATAATTTTATAATAAATCAAAACTTAAGGGGCAAGAGTACAATAAACAAAACCTTAGAAAGGTTGCAAGAATCAAATTGGAACAAATAAAAAAGTTTAAGGATCAAATTGACAAAATTCAAAATACAAGAACCAAACTGAAACTTTGAAAAAAATAGGAAGACCATTGATATAATTAACCCTATACACTATGAGCCTATTCTGTTCTTACTAATTTTTTTCTTAATGCTTATGTAAGTAATTATCTTTTTCTAATTTTTTTTTCGCTATTTACCTTTACCCCTACTGAGAGAAATTTTTTTGACTTCCTCCCTGCTTTTTATAGTCCACCACCATCTTCCACAAGCTAACAAATGTTCTTATGACACAATTAAATGATAAAAATTTAAAGAATGCAAGATTTTTTCATTAAATTCAATACATTTTTATTAAAATTAGTATACTTTTTAACATTTTTAGATCTCGTTTGGTAAGTGATTTTTTTAGCCAACAAGCTAAAAAGTCATTAAAAAAACTAAAAAGCCAATAACCTATATCAAAGAATTAAAGATTCTATTTTCTCTTTATTTTTTGTTGGAAAATGACTTTAAAAATTT